ATTCTAAAGCAGACGTATACCGAGGTTCCACTGTACTAAATTTTTGTCTTTTATAATTTTGTCAGTGAGATTAATTTAAAAATCATAAAACATGAAAGGAAAGTATATTTTAATAAATTAGGAATTAATGTACTACTTATGTTAAAAAAAAAATGGATATTTACAAATTTTTATTTATTTTAAAAATTACATGTGTTAGCACATCCTTCATAGCTTACAGTAAATTAGTTTCCAAATGGGTTTGTTACTTTTAATTCACTTTGAATTTGAAAATAATTTTAAAACATGTTCGACATGTTCCGTATTCAAATTGTACTGGTCAAAAGCCTGAAGATAACTATGCTTATGGACAAAAACGTTTTAATTAAAATTTGTTGTTACTGGGATATAATAAGGTTCTTGTGTGTTGATATATATATTACTCTTCTGAGACTTACATATTATTCTTTAAAAAAAAAAAGGAATCAAACTTTCTATTACAGAAAGCTTTATTGTTGATTCCTTTCTTTTTGTACAGAACTCAATAGGAAATGCAATTTTTCCTTGGGTCAGGAGAAAACTTAGGGCCCTTACAAAATTAATGCCATTTTTACTAACAGAAAATAAATCTCTAAAACTGCTTTTTATTAAAGAAGCATTGGGTTTAATTTATTCAAAAATGCTAAGAGGAACTCTATTCTCAGACTCCATACAAGCTCTCAATGGCTGTGTGTTTTAACTTTTTTCTTGGATTCCCAAAGGTTTAATTAAGTCTTAGAAAATTTGTTTTGTATTTTCTTCCTTTGTTCATCAGAATGACAGTAATATTGGGTATTTTGAATCTTAGCCCAATTTATTGTCTTTAATGGCCTCTGTGTAAAAGTACAAATGCATTATATACTTCTGCAAAAATTTAATTCAATAAGAATATACTTGTTTTTAGACCAAAATAAGGAAAAAATGTTCAATAAAAGTAATTGAGTTTTCCCTACTTTTGAATTTAAGTAATCTTAGTCAACAAGTGTAAATAAGCAAATTTTAAAATATGAACATAGAAAAAGCATGAAACAATTTTTAGCTTCTTGGTAAAAAGACATTTATTGGTTGTAATGTTTCTACAGGGAGCCCTTCAATTGATAGATGAGTGAATTTGTGATAAACATTAAGAACAGTGATAACAGATTGTATAAAACTATTCTCTACATTTATTAATTTAACTTCAAGACAATTGTAAATTATATTTTTAATAAACATTTCAATTCTGCATCAATAGATCTGCTAATTGATTACATTTTACTTCCGCAGCTGTACGATTTCTCATAACTGGGTCTTCTGCAGGTTCATTATAATCATAATCAAATGCATCCTCTGTACAGTCAATATCATCTTGATTAATGCACAAATTGTGCAATATACATGATGTCATTATGACTTTTGACATTGATGAAATGTTTTCCATGTCCAGATATTTCAGTCGACAGAATTGCCCTTTTAGCAGACCTATGGTTTGTTCTACTACAACTCTGATAGAACTGTGTTTTCTATTAAAATTTTTCTGTTTTACTGTAAGATTACCATAATCTTTATATGGTACAATTAAAATGTATCTAACGGATACGCTGAATCTTCAAGTAAATAATATTTATCTCCTAAATATCTTGAAGATTCATTTAAAGGCATATTATAAATAGGGCTCTGCTGCCAAACCCGAGAATCATTGGCACTATCAGGCCAATCAGCAAATGCATCAATAATTTGCATTTCTGAATCACAAATTATTTGCAACAGGATAGAGTGCCTTCCTTTCCTGTTGTAATAACTCTGCCTGTATTCCTTTGGAGTTTTTATATATGTGTGTGTGTGTTCCATCAACACACCCAATTACTCCAGGCAATGAAACAGTACATAATTCTTCAAACTTATGAACTGTTCTTTCCAAGTTATCATTTGGCCACGTAATAAACTTGCCAATCATACGACACATTTTTTGACAGAAGTCTATAAAGATTGTGTGTGCATGACCTTTATTGACACCAAATCTGTCTCCAATACCTCGAAATGATTCTTGATTAGCAAGAGTCCAAATACTTAATAATACTTCCTTTGTAGAAGAAATAGGTTGTCCTTTTTTTACTTTCATTTCTCTTTTTAAATTTATTAATTTTATAATTTCCTATAAAAAATAAATGCATTATCAGTTAATTTAGAAATTAATAGAAAATTTAGCTTATTTTAAATTAAAACTTATTTCTGTTGAACTTTTTGTGAGTCTAAAATGAGATTTTAAGTCATCTATAGAATATGAAGATATGACCTCTTCAACTTAATTTCGTATCTTCTGTTGCTTAGATTTTTTGCCTTCATTTGAAACAGCAATGCCAGTTATTAAATTTTCATACTTCCTTTTTTTATTCTCTTGTAATTCTTTAAATAATATGTTGCTTTCTAAAACTGAAATTAGCAAACAAGGGACAGTGTCCATTTTGCTTCAATGACAAGTGTTTGTAAAATGCCATGCAGCGGTTGCTGCTCATGACATCATTTATGCTACATTTTCGCTGCATAAAAAACCGTGGCCAAAGTAAAAAACTTCAATTACTTGACCATAATGAATGTAATGATATAGTCCAGCCTTTAGAGTTTACTGTCAACATGAAAAAATGAATGCATGATGTGAAAATGTGTAAATGAGATAGATGGTGGCTGTGATGCTACTATACCAGTAGGCATAAATAGATGATTGCAAACAGCAAGTTTGAGGAGAGGTTTGCATGGCCAGGAGAAGAATATGTAAGATTGTTTGGAATTGCTCTAGTTCAGATGTAATTTTTTGCTATTGTATTGTTGATTGACTTATAGAATTACCTAAATACTAGTACATCATTTAATTAATTATTGTATTGCATTCATTTAATAATAACCCTTTTATATTTATTAAATTAACTTTCAGTGTTGTTAATTAATCCTTGTGTACATAATATTTTTCTTACAGTTGTTTTCTTTATTTGTTCATGACTTCTGAGAGGTCAGATCTGCCCCTCTTGTGCACTTTCAAGTAGAGTTTGGTCTTGGGTTTGTTTTGCAAAGAGAAGTTTGGTCTTGGGTTTGTTTTGCATACTTTACACAGAGAGCTCTGAATGCTTGCTTTTTACAGGGTGTTCATAAAGATTAGAAACAACTAATGCAATTTCAGTTGAAAAAATACATTTGATGTGATACTGCATTATTTCTCTTTGTAATTTTTTAAAATTTTCTTTATTCTTTCCTTCCTGTAGACCTTAAGAGTGTCTTTTAATCATTTCTGTTATGGTTTGGCCAGCTTCATAATTTATTATGTTAAACTGAAAGTTTTATTACAGTGATATTTGGTAAACATATATTTTTGCATTAAGATGCATTACATTGAAAATAAATTCATTGTACCAATAATTTTGTCATATTGGCATTAGTTACAATGACATTTTATATTGTATTATGTTAATAATGATAATTTTTAGGAAAATAATAATAAGGATCCACATATTTATATATATCAAATGTATCTGATTTCTCATATTCTAATACAGTGGAAGTTTGTTAATCCTGCACCTATGAGACTAGAGTGGTAACAGATTACTGGACATTTTTGTATTTTTGCAAAATTTGATAAGTTATATATGATTTGAATATTGCAGACATTGCTGTTTGCTTCTGATTTGCTTACATGTGCTTTATAATAAGTTTGAAGATGATATATTTCACAAATACAGTAGAGCCTCAATTATCCGACCTAATTGGGGACGGGTTGGTTGGATAATTGAAAGGGCAGATAATTGAAAAGTATGAAAAAAATCTATTATTAGTGTAGTATATTATTATATCCCATGTAATTAGTATATTAGTATATCGCTATTAACCTACTTTGCATTGAATTTTCATCGATGTTAAGCCTAACAAAAATTTTTTAAAATAATAATCATCGCTATTGTATCGTTAAAAATTAGAAAGTTAAGCCTCGTTTAAATACTGGCTCCCTTTCATGGTCAATCCAGTGTTGCCAGCTAAAACATGTAAAAATAATATTAAAGTAGCCAAGACATAGCCAAATATTGTAGCACCACGTCAATAGCGGACATTTGAAATTTGCCGACTAGGACGGTTGGTTAACCAAGGGGTCGGTTGATAGGGGGTTGGATAATCGAGGCTCTACTGTATACTGTTTTCATATTGATTGGAAAATCTGTAAAGATATTAATGAATATGTCATTGCACAAAATCAACATTTACAATGATTCATATGCATATACAGTAATATTTTCCAGACATGTATGCTGATCCCCATGTTTGTGAATAATTGGGACAGAATAATCTTTCACAAACATTAAATTCTCAAACTTTGAGTTTTGTTTTCAATGTTAAATTTGTAATTTGTTCAAAGACTTACTGCTGTTTTAAAAAATTTTCAGAGAAATGAATGGTTTTATTAATAAATGAATATATTGTGCAGTGGCTTGTAGTGCCGTAAAAGTCATTTCATTTAAGCCAAATGAAAAATAAACAAAATAGTAACATAACTTATGACAGACACCATACAAATGACTGAGTGCAGTGATTTTTTAACATTGTGCGTGCTTGAACATCCAGTTTATGCAGGTGCTGACTTCGATTTACAATAGTACATAATCTCCCATCTCCTGAAAGTTGAAATTTTGGTGTATAAATTTCTGATCATGAATGATTGAATTCCCAAACACTGACATCAAGGATGTAATGTACTGTATTTCTACATGCAGAAAAAATATTTGATAGTTCCAGATTATTGGATACTTTTCAAAGGGTGCTGGATTAACAGACTTTTACTGTATTTTATTTTGTAATATATAATATAATAATAATGAAAAATAAGAAGTTTTAATAACATTAATCTATCAAAAGTTAATGTATTTTTAAAACAGTAATAATTTTATGTTATGAAAGATCAGTATAATAAAATATACATAATTATTTTAAATATTTATATACTTTTGTTTTTATTAATTTAGAGTGAATTGCTACAGATTTTATTACTATATTATAAAGATGCATCTCCAAAATCAGAAGATATTTTAAAGCTGTTTTCTTTATTTCAAGTATGTAGTCATAAAAATTGAATATAAGATTAGTGATGGTTATTAAAATTTTTATATGTTGAAGTTATATCATAAATTGGGATATTTTAAGTTTTAAAAGTAAATTTTCTTATGTTTTTGTATGAAAATTTACAAAAATATTCTCATATTTCTTCATAGAAACACAGTTTTGGAATGAGGCAGACTTACAGACAGTATTTAGGAGAAGGAATGAAAGGACAAATCGATGTAATTGGGTATGTTATAATTGATTATTATTTATAAAATTATTAAAAATATTCATTACAATTTTACTATTTTGAAAAAAGTCTCCCTGTAATAATTACATCAGGGAATTATCTAATTAGTTTAAAAGGCAAATAAAATGTCTTTAACAATTTTAATTTTTATAAATGTCACCATAACTAATATGAATAGAATAAGTACAAATTTATGATGGTTTGTGATAAATCTGTAATAAAATTTGCAAAACCATATTTATAAACTTGATATTGCTTTGGGATTTTGTAATAACTGCAAAGATTTTGTTAAGAGAGTTATTAGTTTTGTGTTAATCTACACTCCAAAGGATATAAAATGTATGTATAGCTATATAACAAAATCTATTTTGTGTGCGTAAAACTATACAAGAACATACAAGTATGGAAAATACATTAACAAAACATAGTTTGTCATGGTGTAATGCAAGATATAAACAGTAGTATCTTATACGTATGATGATATGTAAATTATTAATAATGTTTTCTGTAACATAAGATAAGTAAAAGATATTGTTTGAATATGAAATTGTGATAAAACTGTGTATTACAATTTCAACTTTAGTTTGTTTAGTTCTCAAGGAATACTGTAGACTAATACTAAGAATAAAGAGGAGAAATGATATTTTCGTGCTACAATAAGTCTATATTAAATCTTGGATTCAAATTTTACTTATATAAGTTATGAATATAAATGAAACACCAGGATAATGATTAATTACCACATGGTTAGAAGAAACACTAATTAAAAAATAAAAATTGTCTTTATCTTTCATCCTTTTTCACATCATCTGGATCCTGAAGAATTGTAGGACAAAAGATAAATATACTTTTAATTTAGTGTTTCTTTCTACACTTGTGGAAATTATTTAAGTTATTTTTTCATTTATTTTATTATTATTTCCACTTGACTTTAATGCAGTATTAGTTTTTAATTAAAATGATTTTAGCATATTAAGATCAAATTGAAGAAAGATTGAAAAATGCTTTTAAATGCATGTCTGTTTGGAAAGTGAAAGAAAATTTTATACAAGCAGTAAAATGACTTTTTGTTTGTGATCTGTTTATACATATAAAAATTCAAAAAATTATAATGATTAGGTTGATTTTGTTTAATGTTTAGAGATGATGGAAATATTTAAAACAATTTTTGAAAATATTAATAAATCTCTAATTCAAACTAATTGGTTTTTAATCTATTTGGATTATTTGGTATTCTTTTTCCTGGTGTAGTTTTCATGTTAATTCAGGATTTCTTAACTATAGTTGGATGAGCCCATTATACAGAGTTTTCAAAATGAATGCTACTATTTAAATTATTGTAATTAATTTAATTAAAATTGAAAATTAAAGTCTGTCCAAAATTGGGAACCACCATTTATTCACTTCTTGTGTTCCAGAATACAAACATTTGATGAACTGATCTTTCTTTTTAGGCTGCTTGGCCATGAAGTTTAAAAACATCCCTTTAAAAATACAGCAAAATATCCAATTAAAATTACAAAGTTGAAATTGGAACTGGCAGATCTTACAGACATCTTTGTTTTTAAAGGGTTGTTTGTATTCTGGAACACAAGAAGTGAATAAATGGTGGTTCCCAATTTTAGACAGACTGTGTTTTCAAATTAATTTTCATAACATTGCCATCCGAAGAAATTCTACAATTAATTTAATTGTTATCTAAGAATGTTGTAATGAACATTAAAACATTGGAAAACTGTCCACATTTTACATTTGCCCACTACAGTTTTTCTGTGTGTGCACCTTGTGTCATGTTGCACACATCCAATTCATATTCAAATTTTTCCTATGCTCATTCAAGCATTCCACCCACAGCATCCAATTCTACAGCTCATGCAGATTACTTGTGTAGCACAATAATGTTACAGACTGCAGAACACAGAACACCTTTGCTGCAGAGTTGCTAGTTTTTTATGATGCTTCCTAGAAGTTGTAGATGATAAGTTGTTTGAATGTAGATGGGAGGTGACATTTGGACAGTTATTCTATCAATTGGTATACGTTGCATACTTCTTGAATAATAATTGACATAATTACAATGATTTAAAACAGTAGCATTTTTTTACAAGACACTATATTATGTCAGAGCAACTGACACCAGTCAGTTTTTCAAAAACTGACCGACTTGGCTTGTTTATGTGGGATTTTCAACCTATTTTTATGAATAAGTGTATGACTATATAGCAAAGAGGAGACAAGATACTAGCCTTCATTTTATATTCAAGTAATAAATCTTTATTTTGAGGGTTTGTACACACAACTTATTTTGGGTGGAATGAGGTAAGCACAACACAAGTTCATATTAATCAGAATTTCAGACTACCAGGTTCATATTAAGACATCTCCATATATTTGATATTCACCAAATTTTGAGCAAACATTTGGCCACTATCAAATAGTTTGGATGAATTATTCATGACTAATATTTACTGTTTCCCACTTCTTGTCGATATATTGTGCCGAATCCAAGGAGATGAATAGGCGATTATTCAGCAGTTGCTGAATACCAAATATATACAGCTGGCTTAGGCAAGGTTTTACTGTATTTGCCAAATTACAACGGTTTCTGTATATTTCTTTAGTTATAGTAAATAGTTTCTATAATTTTACATTTATAATGCTACAAACTGATTGAATAAGAATATTAAAATTCTATATTTTATGTGATTATAGATATTTAGAAGCTCTTGTATTTTTAGAAATGTTGGAATTGGAATGGTTATTCCAATGTGAAGCAGAAGGAACGTAAGAGATTTTTCTTGTTTTTAATTTAATACGTTATTTAATACACTTATTAAATGTAACTATAAAAGAAAACTTAATTCAATTTATAAAATAATGTTGAAATTCTTGAAAATATTTTTTATAAAAATGAATTAATCTTAATTTTGACTATTTTATTTACAGAATTAATAATTTTTCATTTATAAAGACTGAAAATTTTAATGTAAGTTAAAAAAATAAATATTTAAGAGTTTAAAAAATCTGTTTAAATTAATATTTTGATTTATAATCTTTATTATATTTGAGATGTTTTTTTGAAAGTAATTTTAATGAAGATATTTAATTTCAAGATAATTTAAAATGATCTGCAATCATCTATCTTGATTTATTAATATTAAATACATAATTATCAGATTTTTTAAACTGCATTTTGGGTACAAATTTACCTAATTTACTATATAATTTGTGTGAAAGTGGGCAACCTATCTGTCTAGTTTTAGCCAAATTATATAGTTTATTAATTAAATTAATAACAGAAGCATAGCCAAATAAATGCAGTGATTAGGTACAGTGGCATTCTGTACAACACAGGGATATGATCAGCATTATAGGAAGTCTTGTTATCAAGACACGCATTTCAGATGATTTTATAGACACGGGCATTATATGAGAGTTCATTATATTCAGTTTAAAATAACTTTGAAATTAAGCTATAAGTTTATTACTTTATATCAGAATAAATTTTTCTATTCAGGAAAAGACTCAATATGATTAAAATATTATATTTTATTTTAGTTGTTATAATATAAAGTTTATTTAAACAATATAATGTAAAGAGTAAATATGCATTAATGTTAGAAAATTCATAAGATTATTTGGTCCACTAGTGACCAAAGAATGAAGTCAAGAGTTGGTCAAGAGTTTGCACCTGATCACAGGCTGGCTGTATGATGTTTCCCGAGCTTTCTAACATCTAAATAGAGGCCATTTTCTCATAAAAAGTCTTTTTGGGTATCTCCTTTGGCAGTTTTGTTACTATATTCTATCAAATCAAACCATAAAATTATTTGAGAGGAAAAAGACATAATTCAACAAAGTATCTTATCATCAGCTGTTAATTAATAACTATATAAATGTGCTTTTTATTAAATTTATTTTGCTGTCAAACTGTATTTGTGTTTTTCAAAGGAATTGAGTAAAATATATTAATGAGAAAAACTTACAAATGAAATTACTTCTGAATTGCTTTCAGAGTGAATTTAGTTGTCACAAAAATATGGTGCAGCACAAAGTAACACCACACAACTGAATTTATATGTAATTCATAATAAAAAACATTTCAACTTACTACTGATATATAGTAAAACCTAAGTAAACTGGAATCACACAGTACCAAACATTTACGTTTAGGGGATTTCCATTTTATCAGTTTCCATTTTGGGCCAATTTTACTGTAATACATTTAAACAATATTTGTAAAATCCAAAAATATTGATGTAAATGAAAGAATTTAGAGTGTATTTCATGAGTTCGGAGTTATAGGAGTTATGTTGATCTTTGTTTATTTTTTAATAGATAAAGCATGGTAGATAAGAAGGAATGAATTCAAGTTATTTTGATAGTGGAAACCAGCAGTCAGCATGAAGTTGCCAAAGAGTTTAACAGACTGCTGTGCATGATTGGTGGGAAGTCTGGATGCAACCTTTTAAACTTTGGCAACTTCATGCTGACTGCAGGTTCCCACTATCAAAATAACTTGAATTCATTTCTCCTTAAATATCACGTGTTGTGTGTAAAATAATAAACAAAGATCAACATAGCTTGTGTGGTTCGACTTATGGGACATCCTGTATATTTCAATAGTCAATAAAAATTGTTAATGTAATGTAATCATATTATTATTATAGATAAATTTTAATATTTTTTATTGATGAGAAAATTAATTCTTTATTGATTATATACTATAGAAGTTAGATGAAGTCATATGTAGCTTTGGAAATCATCCTCATCAGGGACCAATTATTCTAGCATGGTTATTAGTCAGACAATGTTCTGGAAGGAAATGTAAGACAAAACATCTTGGAAATGCAGCACTTCAGTTAAATGTATTTGAATATTTGACAACATTGTTGAGTAGTCCTATTTTAAGAGGAGATGGAGTGAGTATGAATGCAGTTTTGTTAATGTTCTAAATCTTAAATAATCATTTATAATTAATTATTTTCTTCTTTCTCACATATTAGACTTTTTGTTCAAATAAAAATTTCTAAGGAAACAGGTACATCTGAACAGATATAATTTAATTTTTTATTACATTACAGTTAGATTTATATTGATCCGTGTACAGTATATATAATATATATAAAATAAATACAGTAGAACCTCGATTATCCGGACTAATTGGGGATGAAGGTAGTCCGGATAAGGAAAAATCCGGATAATCGAAATAAATACTTTAATTTCTTTTAATGATAATACAACACGTTTTCTTTTCGATGACATGTCGGTAATATTAAAAGTGAATACTGTATTTAAATCGTGATCAAATTTTCAAGAAACAAACGTTCGTATTGAATTTGGACTACTACTGACCAACGCTAACAGACTACCTATTGTTTAAAAGGCCCTCTGGTGGCGCAAGAAGACGGATTTTATAAAATAAAAAGCAGTTGAAACTGCATTTTTATGAATAAAAATTTGA